AAAATTTAGCAAATAGTGGCCATGTTTTTTCAGACGGGACTAGTAATTTTAGGTGCCTCAAACTTTTTTCTCGAGGGGGGGGAGCGGAACCCAAGCTGATACTTGGAAAGGCATGATTTTCAGAAAGTTCTGAGTACCCGTCTCATGTCTCAAATATGGCATGTGAAAATTGAGGCACCCACTTTTGAAAAATCTCTACCATTATGTGCAAAGCCCTTTCTCGGATGCCCTTTGGACAAGGGTGATCATCACTTCACCCCCTCCCCCACCTTAGTATGCTTGCAGGTTTGTCAAGACTACCATCTAATTTACACACTGACTATGTGACTTGAAGAAAAAGGTAGATTAGCTCAAGTGACTAGCACATAAAGATAAAGTGCTTAGTGAGTAAAGAAGAGCTGGGAGTTCAAACTCCAGAAAGGTTAGTTGGTTATTTTCAAACACTCCCTTTAATGAAAAGAAAAAGTTATGGATCAAACTGTGTCACTAGGGACCTGATCTAAAACTCATTGAAGTCAGTGGGAGTCTTTCCAGTAACTTCAGTGGCTTTTGGATCAGGCGCTAGTTGCTAATAGGCAGTACAGTGACAAAAATAGACAAAGCTATCCAGGAAAAAGAAACATATTTGCAATTATTTTTTTTAATTAATGCCAATAAAACTAGAAGCTTCTGTTAATTTGTGAACCTGATCACTCTTTGCTGAATTCTCATCTGTTCTGCAATGATAATTATGTTTACTGTGGGAGTTGAGGGATGATGGAAACTCCAGCAGCAGATAAAATGGTTCTATTTTTGGCACCATACGGATAGAGTATCTATGTACCACAACAGATGGAGCAAAAGCCCTTGAAGTGCTATTGTTGAAATAGCTCTGAGACCTGTCATCTGCTCAGAGACCGTTCATAAACCATCACTAAGTAGTTTCAGGTTTATAAAGCGAGATCCTGCCAAATATCCACCACAGCTGTGCTTTAAGTAAAATCCAAGAGGGAAACAAAGTATGTAAACAGCAGTCCACACAAGGGAGTATTATTTCACATTCTTCACAGGACAAATTCTACTCTGTGCAGGTAAGTGCCACCTATAATTAAGGTTGCAGGACACTTCCCATTATAAGACCCTATTTTCATTTGCTGCCAAACTTTAACAGTTTGGGCTAAAATTTTCCATGCTGGGTTTGTGTGTCAGATTTATTACAGTTTAAGCTAAAACGGTTCATCTGTTTCTAATAATGAATTAGGGATAAATATTGTTTTTCCCCTATTCAAATTTTTTTTTTTACAATTGTTTTATTGAGACGGTCTTGTGCCTCCCTGTTTTGGAGCAGGGACGTGAAATTTGACATGGGTGTGGGGGAAGGGAGTGCCTTTTGCCATCCTGGTGAAAATGTGCCCAAACCTGGCCCAGTTATAAGCCTCTGAGAAAACGCCATTTGCACATGCTCAGTAGAGATTTGTTAGTTTGACAGCTAAATTCTCTGACGATTCCATGTGGACTGAACATGCACCATCCCTGTAGAACAACTGAGTGTGCTTCAGCCCAAGGCTGCAGGGATGGAGCAGGATTTTCCCTGCAGTTGCTCCTTCCAGCTACTGAAGGACTGCTATGGCACTGGGGGTCAGAACTGAGAGCAGAGAGGCAGTTTCTCCTGTGATCTCAGTGCTTCCACTGGGTCTAGTTCTGTGGAGAAAACAGGATGTGATCACGTAATTATGTAATTAAAGACTGTATCATAACACATAGGTAAAAGGAGGCTGAATGACGGTTCCACAGGACACCGTAATTCTGGCATTGCCTAACTCTTGAATGCTTGATTTTGCAACCCTAGTGTTCTTTTAACATAGCTGGTTTTGCTTGGATGTACTATGTAATGTATTGGTTGAAATATTTCCCTATACTTGTACATCTCCAGTCAAGAAAAAAACGCCGTGTTACCAGCGTTCCTGTCAATGTTTATGTACTAAAATATGGGTGCTACATCAAACCTAAGAAAGACAGCTATTGATACAATGAGGTAAACTATTATGACTAATGCAAAACCAAAAATTTACTGTTGGGCAGAGACCAAGCCTGAAGAATTTAAACTTCAAAGGAGATTGTCATAGCCTAAAAACAGGGCTATTATGGAAACTACTTTGCAGCCTTAATTATACTGGTTGCTACTACTCCATGCTATAATGACTTGCTTATAATAATGATATGTACACAATATCTGCTTCCATTTGTAGCGTTTGATTGGGTCTGTAATGAGATTTAAGTTTTAAAGGGGAAAAGATTTGCTATAAGGGATATGTTCTATTCCTTTCAACTAACAATGTATGAAGAATAAAATGTGCCAATGTTTACATGATTGGGTTACATTTTCTATACTTGGTGCTTACCATCTTCAAAGGACTTTATAAACAAAATAATCACACTCGCCGTGAAGTAAGCATTGTAATTACATGTGGAGAAATAGAAGCAGGGAAGTTAAGGTCAGTTTTTTCAAAAGTACCTTATAATTTTGATTATCTCAATTTTTGGTTGTCCAATTTGAGTCTGCTCAGCAGCCACAATTCCAGATGCAATCTATCAGAATTGCAGGTGCTCGGGACCTCTTAATATCAACCTTGAGATATCTCAAGCTGAACACCCAAAAACTGAGGCACACACAAACAGCCATTTTGGAAAATTTGGGCCTAAGGGATTTGGCCAAAGCTTCAGAAGGAATCATTGTTGGAGGCAGGATTCCAAATCCCAGCCTGACTCCTACACTGCTTTTCTTCATGTCTGTGCAATCTCTTATTTTACTTGGAAAGCCTGCCATGCCTGTCATGAGTGATGATGTGTGTCCTAGCACCCAGTACGGCCATAGAATATCACATGAAAGCGCACAAACATGATACTGACGCACCTACTCCAGGGCTGATCAGTATTACCCGGAACTAACTGTCATGGGAAAAGTATCACCAGTCAGCATACCTCTCAGTGGCCAATTGTTATAAGGACTATCTCTGACTTTTTTACCTAAACATGCTTCTGTCTCAGATGTTTACTGCAGTATCTAACTTATTAATATTTAAATTTGCTACCTCAGTGTGGGCCAAATTCCAAGTGGATGCATTAAAAAAATGTGACTCACAGATATACACATTGTGCCTGATCCTCCACTACCGTGCACTTTGTGTTGTCATTTACACTTGTGCAAACCACTACCCATCTAAAATTCTCTACTGCCACAGGTGGTGGGTGGAGATCAGGCCAGATATTTTCTGGCCAACCTATTCTCCACTCCCACGTTGGAGTTACCACTGTAAAGTTCCTGAATCTCAAGCCTGACTGCAAGGTAAATGCTATGACACTGCTGCCTCTTCCTCTTTTCACACCACCGCCTCCCTCCTGTAGGGGCAGCTGCTGCTGAGCTGATGTTTTCTCTCCCTGCATTCCCAGCTCCTCCACTTTCCCCTGCAGCTCTTAGATTGGTAGGTCCATGGAGAGGAAGAGCCCATTTCACAGAGCTGGCTATAGGGAGTGAAAGAGGGAGCTCTGATGAGCATTGCATAGGGAAAGGAGCGGGCGGAAGGAGGACATGGCAGGGGAAGAGGCACTTTGAAGGTGTCTATACAGAAGGGGGGTAACTTTCAACTTCTGTTTGTGGGCCCGTCCAATTCCTGTCGGCATCACTGGACTCTCACGGCAGCCATCCCCTGCAATCGCCTATTAAGCAATGCCTTCTTGTGTGACTGGGTGAGTTTAAAAGAATTGGTGTTTGCAGTTATAGACCTGATTTTTCAATTTGAAACCTACTCCTTTGCATATTGTATCCTGTGATGAGTGGTAAAGACCCTTGGGGAAGCCCAGGGTCATGGTTCTCCCACATCCCAGTTTCCCTATAAAAGCACGCCATGCCTGTGTGGAAAGGGGGAGGCTAGAGGGTATTGCCCTCCTGAGCTGAAGGCAGTATTTGATTTGTGCTGGGGCTTGCCAGGGCTGAGCCCTAGCACCTCTAGGCTTGGCAGTTCATAGCCCTGGCACCTCTGGGCTGCTATGTCAGTTATGAAAGTAGAACAATTGCTTGAGCCCTAGCAGCTCTTTCATTGCTAGTTAAGCACTGGCGGAAGAGGTAGGAAGCTGGAGCAGCTGGACCCAATTACTAGGAGCTGCTACTAAGAGGTAAACTGACACAGCCCTTCATTTCCAGATGCAAAGGCTTTCTACCTGTAAGCAGTTTGGTTGTGATTTGTTTTCTGTTAGGAACCTTGCCTTTAGAGTAAGCACCCACATGAGCACCATACTGAAGAGACCCTTACTGGCTGTTGGCTCGGAGAACAAACTGATTGCTTCTCCAACGGAGGGTCCTTCCCACTCACCCCCAGACTGACCAAACTGCTCTGATTTACAGCAGCTTTACCTGAGCTACCTGTGGCTTGCTCTGCAGTCTGGAGAAAGCCAGAACCTCTAGTTTTCAGTGCAACGGGGATTCCCCCTTCAGCCCCATATGTGGGATGCTCCCTATACTGGAAGTAGTATGCGGGGCAGCCTAGAGCTGCTCATGGTGGCCTTATGCTGCTCCTGCAGTGAGGGTGGGGTTCTCTCCTGGCTTCTTGTGGCTCATGTAGGCCCTCTGTACAGCGCTGGAGCAGGGAATTAGGGTGACCAGGTAACTTATGACTGCTTTCCCCTTGGGGGTCTCCCCAAAATGAGGTGTATTGCTGATTAAGCTGGCTCAGGGTGAAATCAATCCTGCTGCCAGGGGATCACTACAGTCCTCTACTCCATACCACTTAAATCCTCAGTGGTGTTAAGAGCCTCTGTCCAGGGCTATGTTTCACACCCACTGAACAAAAATTCTAAATGAATAACAAATTAGAGCAAGTCTTCTATTCTCTGGTTCTGAGCAGATATGACACTCAAGGAGCTTGTTGCTGCAGCACTAAGTTATTGGAATGAATCATGTTAAAATGAAAGTTATACTGAGCCATGGAGATATTGCGAAGTTATAGCAATGTAGCTCAGCTTACTGCAGTGGAAGCATGTCTTGTGAAAACTCCTGCCATTGCACTGGATTTCCTCAGCATGATACACCGTCTTGTCACAAGCACCACATTTGGCGCCACCTCCCCAGTTCGGCATCCTTAGGTTTGAAGCGTTACCTAAAAAAAGCAAATAAATGAACTGTCAGCAGAAATTGCCCAGTCTTAATTAGAGCAACTTGGATTCTCCCTTTTTGTTCACTCAGCCCCAAAGCCAGCATAGCTGCCCACGTGAGTAACGCCCCAGTAATTGAAGATTCTCTGGTGGCAAAGAGCTAGCGTAGTAACTCCTATACCACTCTGTCTCCCCGAGGCTGGTATATCACTGAGGGAGGTGGGGGAAGAGGGATTGCCAGGACTTCCATATGCCCCTGAGAACTCTGGCTGCTATAATGGCCCTTGGGGACCTTTGGTAGCCAGCCTATATTGGGTCAGCCTTTAGTCAATGGCTGAAGTGTGATGGTCCAATAGACCATGATCAAGAGGAAGGATATTCCAGTGGTTAGGCTGCTAGCTGGGGCCTTGGACACCTGCATTCAATTCCCTGTTCTGCCACAGACTTCCTGTGTGATCCTGGGCAAGTCACTCCATCTGTAAAACAGGAAAATATTATAGTACTATGCCTATCTCACAGGGATACTCTGAAGATTGTGTATGCTCAGATTCTGTGGTAGTAGGGGGCCATATATAAATATCTAGGCTATCTAGGGGCTGCATTTTCCAAAGATTACCCTTTTCTTTCAATGCGGCTTTTCTGCAGTGTTGGCCTTTTCCTTGGTCATTAACTTTCATATAACTTTTGTGAGGCAGAGAGTTATGGAGGATCTGGATCCTATACAGAATGCAAAGCTTTAGTGGAGTTTTACAAGTGAATCGAGGACAGAATTTGGCCCTATAAATTTTCTAGAGATCAATATTCCAAGCTTATCTGTCAAGGGATACCATGTTTTACTGTTTTATTACCTCTCTCCAAAACAACTGTTGTTTTATTCCAGGCTACCATGTGTTCTTGTTCACTGACAGAAGGATAAAGGAAATCTCCTGTACCCATATTTCTTTAAACTTACGAAATGATTGATTGTGAAGTTAGATTAAGGAATTCATACCTACAGAATTTAGTCTTACATTTAATGTTATTTTTGGTGGCTTTTTCATGGATACAGGTTGTTCATCCTTCTGAATTATGCAAACACAACAGATGCAACAGCACTATTAACCAGTCAACAATGAATAATAATATTTCGTTTTTCTGAGGTATTTCACTCAGGGATCTCAGAAGTGGTTTGCAAAGGAACGTGAACTTCTTATTCCCTTTGTACAGATGGGGATACTGAGATACAGAGAGGTGAAGTGACTTGCCCAAGGTCACATGAGGTCAGTGTTGGAGCCAGAAATAGAACCCAGGTCACCTGACTCCAACCCCAGTGTCCTCTCTGCTGAACATGTTGTACATCAGATTCTAAAACAACTAGAGCAAATCTGGTTTGCCCTGGGGTTTTCTTGATGTTTCTGAGTCACAGTTTTTAGGAAGACTGGAATGTCCTCTTGTCATTTGCATGTCACATTATCAGACTGTTTTGAGCTCCTGGCTCAGGCCTTTCTTATCCTTCTTGGAACGCCAGTCACTTTCTTATTATAGTTAACTGTTCTTTCAAAGCCAACTTTGGGTCAGCTTGTTCCAGTTTGGCTCTGATAAATTCACAGCTGAGATACATACTTAGCTAAGGAAAAGATGTTGAACATTGAATGATTCATCAAGCCTACTATGCCAAAATTCCTCTTCAGCTGTCAAACAAGAGATAGAGGAGAATTTCTCGTACCAGTGTAGCACAAACAGCTGATAGTCGTTTGGTTCACATTTTGAAGTGTAGTTTCACCTTGAAAATCAACTATAAAAAGACATTGTGAAGTTTCATGTTTATAATCTCAGTGATGTTTAGATCAAGTGTCTGAGTGAAAATAAGCTGTCTATAGCTTCCACCTCTGCAAACTCAACCTGAAAGTCAAGCTGGCTCTTTCTGGTTTGAACATCACTAATATTTAAGATTCTGCAACTGAAACATAGTTAAGAGTGTATGTAAGAGATGGAATAGAATCCTGCTCAATTTCCCAAACCTATTTTAGCTTAGTGGTGTTAACAGGATTAAAAACATGATTTAGTTGGTGAAGTAAGTGGAAGTGATAATGAGTACATACAAGAACAGATCTGTTCAGGAAGAAGGTGCCGATTTTACAGAGTAGAACTGGACTTTAAAATCCATCATTTTCCTTGTCTGGCAACTCTTTCACTTTACAAAAATCATCATTTCCCTCCTTGAAATCTTTCTCCTGTCCTCAATACTTTCTTTGATTTTTTTTGAAAAGTACTTTGTATCAAACCCATTCATTTAGATTTGTTGTTTTGTCTTCGCATGAACAGAAATCAACTAATTTAATTTGGAATATTCTGTTCCCCTGTCACGTATATATCAGATGACTCAGCTCTGTACAATGAAAATATGATAGATTGTTCTTATAACAGAGATAAAAAATAAATAATATTTCAAACCTGGGTTTTAAGATAATGGAAAACAAAGAAATAAACAGTATGATGACACAACTGAGAAATTAATAAATGATCTACACTTCTATCATGCTCCCATTACAATTAGTGATAAATTTCTAATTGGCATCAATGGAAATAGAATGGGGCCTTTAACAAATAATGGGGTTGCAACTCCATTGAACTGAATGGAATCTCACACCCTCTTGCAACAGTCCAATTATCTGCACTGTTTTCAAGTGCGGAAATTAAAAAGCCAGAATTCAGAGCAATATCCAATGACAATGCTATCAGTGCTTGATCCTGCAAGGTGCTGAGTGACTCTTGATATTCTTTAATTCCCTTTGGAATTAAGGGGCTCAAGCAGGCACCAGTTGAAGTTAAAGAATTCAGTGGAAGCCGAATTGGGCCCAGTGGTAACTGAAAGTGCAAAGCACCTTGCAGGATCAGGTCCCAGGCCCTGACAAACTGTCAAGAGGGCAGTTGGTTGGAACAGATTGAAATTACGTCATTAGCTGAGTGAAGGAGCAAGCGTCCCAGAGAAGGTCTGATAAAGTTCAATAATGAACCTCTCGCTGTTACAGGCAGTGGTTACATCTCTGAAAGGAACCCTTGACACTGATGTTAATTATAGCAACATAAGTACAGTACTGCATGTGCTTACACGTTTTCCATGCTTTTCATTGTCACCTGATGAAGAGAAAAAGAGTCAAGCTAGAAAATATCCCCGAAATGACACTGAATCTTTTGATGGTACCACATGCTCTGATCTCTGGGCTGGCCAGCTCTGCAGGCAAGTGCAAAAGTGAGGTAAGGAGGCAGGTTGCTAGCTCTTCCATTTCCATTTTGAGGTGAATTGCAGCTAGGGTGACCAGAGGGCAAGTGTGAAAAATCAAGTGTGGGTTAATAGGTGCCTATATAAGAAAAAGCCCGCAAAATTGGGACTGTCCCTATCAAATCGGGACATCTAGTCACCCTAATTGCAGCCCCTTCATGTCTCCAAGTACATGAACTACACCTTGCAGCATCCCCTTCCTACATGTACCTCTGTGCAATGGAAGGGCCATGGACAATCTGACCCTTTAGTTTTGTAGGATGGCTATTACCTGAATCTTAAATATTTTATCTTAATCTTAGGACAAATATCTTATCTAAATCTTGAATCCTGTCAAGAGTGCCATAGATGTGGGAAGCAAATTCTGCTGTCAGTTACATGAATGCAATGCTCTTTCTCCCTGCTGAAGTCAATGGAAATGAGTAGAAGTTAGCTCAAGCTCTTTCATGTCCATGCAGAGCAGAGAAGGACTCAGTTTTCAGGCTTAATCCAAAATGATCACACACAGTAAATTTTACTGCAATATTCTTGTTCTACACCATTGTGTCACGTAGCTCCAAGGCAGTAAACAGCTGCTGCATTACACCCCAGAGGAAGACGTGTTTCATGAGTGGGGGAAGCACACCCTCTATGTCCGTGTCTGTAAAGCACACTGAAGTCATTGTATTAAAGATACTATTAAAGATGCAAAGTCGTATTATTCCCATGAAGACAGAGTTGACTTTTCTGGGGTTCAAACCAGGAGTTGCAGGGAATCCACACATTTCAAACCATATGTCAAGGTTCCTTCCCCACTCTGAACTCTAGGGTACAGATGTGGGGACCTGAATGAAAAACCCACTAAGCTTATTTTTACCAGCTTAGGTTAAAACTTCCCCCAAGGTACAAACTATTTTACCTTTTGCCCCTGGACTTTATTGCTGCCACCACCACGCATCTAACAAATATATAACAGGGAAAGAGCCCACTTGGAAACGTCTTCCCCTCACCCCCCCAAAATCCTCCCAAAGCCTACACCCCCTTTCCTGGGGAAGGCTTGATAAAAACCTCACCAATTTGCATAGATGAACACAGACCCAAATCCCTGGATCTTAAGAACAATGAAAAAGCAATCAGGTTCTTAAAAGAAGAATTTTAATTGAAGAAAAAGTAAAAGGATCACCTCTGTAAAATCAGGATGGTAAATACCTTACAGGGTAATCAGATTCAAAAACAGAGAGAATCCCTCTAGGCAAAACCTTAAGTTACAAAAAGACACAAAAACAGGAATATACATTCCATTCAGCACAACTTATTTTATCAGCCATTTAAACAAAACAGAATCTAACGCATATCTAACTAGATTGCTTATTAGCCCTTTACAGGAGTTCTGACAGGCATTCCTGCTCTGGTCCTGGCAAAAGCAACACACAGACAGAGAGAACCTTTGTTTCTCCCCCCTTCCAGCTTTGAAAGTATCTTGTCTCCTCATGGGTCATTTTGGTCAGGTGCCAGTGAGGTTATCTTTAGCTTCTTAACCCTTTACAGGTGAAAGGGTTTTTTCCTCTGGCCAGGAGGGATTTAAAGGTGGTTAGCCTTCCCTTTATATTTATGACACCATGATATCTTCAAAAGGCTGAATCTCCCTTGCTAAGGTTCCCAGAATGCTCTTTAAGAATGTTCACCACAATTATCTGGGTGAATTTTGTACTGGTAGTAAAGTATATTGATTTGTACACCCTCAGGTTTGAGTCCATTCCTAAA